AAATGCTGAACTTCCTTGACGTCACACTAAGTAGGCGAAGTGATGACTCGCTAAGTAGAAGCGTATATAGAAAAATTCCCGCTGCTTGCCAATACACTCACTTTTGTAGTTTTACACCTATCGGATTCAAAAGAATTTGTTTAGATGTCTCACTAGCAGAGCAAAAATTATCTGTTCGGTGGATACTTTAAATCAGGAGCTGGAATTCATCAACAGCTCACTAATCGAGATCGGTTACCTTAGTGCATTCCTAAAGAAGTACATGTATAATTTTTAAAAAGAAGTTGAAGACTTCAACCGTTCAAAAGGAGCTTTTATTCAGTAAACTACTATTCAACGGGAATGTGGCTAGCGATTCTCTGCAGGATAGACAAACGAAATTAATTAGTAGAACATTGAACGCAGCCAAACTTGCATCGACCTTCTCAAGTCAACCAGCGATGTCTAACCAAACGAAGTATAAGTTTCTTGAGTTGGCTTCCTCAATGCGGATTTACAAATTCAACTGCTTCTATCGAGATAGCTATATTTGACGTACAACCAGGCAACTTAAACAACGAATGAGTGAACATCTACCGGCATGGTTTACGAAAGGTCAGTCAAAAACAATTCGCAGTACTATCTTAGCACATCTGGTTGATAGTGGTCATATTGTGGTTAAGTCTAGATGTTTTCGGATGATCTATTGCATACCTCAATCATTTCCCAACGGAGTTTGCTCCCATCTCCTATACATAGCGGAAGCCATAGGAATTCGTACATTCAACCCCAATTTATGTGTTCAGAAGAAATTCGTTACAAACCTGTATCTTTCGTGGTCGGATATAAATTAACTAACAATTTAAAAAATTTTTGTGGTTTGGATTTTATTTTCCTATTACTAGCATTATTTTCACATCCTGTGTTTGTTGGTAATTCTCTGCCTCTTTCCGTTTTCGTAGTCTTCAGTATCTAATTGTTTACAGACTTCTTATTACGTAATGATTTTAATGTTTTGAAATGATTATTTGAAGTCTATTTATCCGCTTTTGATCTACTATTTCCAATGTTGAACTATTGAGAAAAGCTTTTGTCATCGTATTTCGTTATACTAACGGTACACCAGTTTTCTCACTATCAACTTGTACTTTTATCTTTAATAATGTAGCGACGTAATCTATTTCATTGCGATCAATGACTAAAATGGCCTTCATTGGTCAACAATTTTCATATAATTATTCATGTTTAATATATTACAGCTTGATTTAATTAAAAGCACTATTGTTTGTTATTATGTGTTATTCTAAAATTCAGATTTATTTAATTAATAGTAATGTGCAACTGTTAAAATTGAACTCCACAATCTAAACTAAACGTATTATCCAAAAAGATTTCGATCTGATTTCCTTCGTGTTCCTGAATTCATGATGCTGATTCTCAAGTTGAAATAAATTAGTTCTTCAATGAAATTCTGATTCCCAACTGCTTTGGATTATGAGGACGTCAACAGCTCAAGAGAAGCAATGAATATAGTGAACAACCCGGATCCAGTTCGATGATCTGAACTTCGTAAATGACCTAGCCCTTCTATCCCCAATCAGCAATAAATGCATGTTACATTGGCCAGTATAGCGGTATCAGCCTCTGCAGCAATAGGTCATCACATACACAAGGTGAAAAGAAGGACTAAGCGATACAACACAACATTCACCAATCATATCAAACTTGACGTAAAAGCTACGGGAGGATTTAGATACCTTAACATATCAGGGCAAGGTGGATCTGATGCAGATATAAAGACATGGATTAGCAAAGCCAGGGAAGCATTGCTACAAGTGAAAAACATCTACAAGTAACAGAACAATCAGCCAAACCCAAAGTCACAATCTTCAATACAAACGTCAAGATATTTCTACTGTATGGGGTGGAAAGTTGAGGAATTACAAAAGCCATTATTCAAAGGATACAGGTGTTTTTTAACAGCTGTCTACGCAGCATACTCCGTATCCATTGGCCAGATACCATCAGTAACAACCTTCTGTCACAGAAAATACACTGGATTCTAGCTGACGAAGAAATTAAAAACGTTCTGGACGTGGATAAGGTACATATTGGGGAAATTACTCAACTGCATCACGAAGGAAGCCTTATCTTGGGACCCTCAAGGCTAAACGAAAGGAAGTAGACTAATGAACACACTGCTGAAGAGGCAGACATAAAAATAATGGGCAGAAGATGGTTAAAACTAAGAAAAGAATGCTCAGTCCACAGTAGGCCGGAGAATGCTGCTCATCGGTCTATGCAATTCTTTGAAGATATGTACAATCTAATGCTAATCACCCACAGTTACCTTCCATTCTTAAAGTCTATGTACCACACAAAGTTAATTAAAGACATCGATGCACTCAGCTTTTTCAAGCGTTGACGCATATCAGCCCTGAAGCAATAATTTTTGTCTAGATGAAGAAAAAAGTTTCCAAAACATAACAGCATCGTTTTCTAAGGCGGTCAGAGCATCTTATTTCCTCTGCATTATCAAACAACTATATCATCTGCATATTTTAAGTTAACAAGAGAATCTCCTGGTAGAAGATGTATTCTTGGTAAGTCAGTCGATGAAATTCTTATTTCTAAAAGAGTTTCTATGACGAAATTGAATAAGAATGAGGAAAGCGGACAAACTTAACGAACAGCATAGGTCCTAACTTGTCGAGTAGTGTTCGAATGGTCAGACGAGCTTAACGATTCCTTTACGGGATTCGATCAGATACTAACTTATTAGAGTTGATGAAACGTTCAATATAATTAGTAGAGTGAACTATGCATTCAACTGTTTCACTATTTTTAGTTTAATCATATACGTTTACAAGTCTTGAAACAATATTTCAGATTTCTATGGAAAGAAACTTATCCTAAACATGTTAGCTATGTTACTGAAGGCAATCAAAAGAATGCGTTTAGTCGGCGTCTTCAACAAACAGAACTATATCATTTATTTATATAGACCCGGGATTATTCAAGAAAAAAGCTTATTCAAAATAAAGGCATAAAAGGATATCTTAAAAGATACATTAGGAAAAGAACAAATCTACATCCTCAAAATTGATCGATTTGAAGCTGCGCTTTTCAACTAATAGCTTTTTTTACATTCAGAGATTTTACATGACTGATTTGTTAATGTTAAAATGAATATAACGGTCTAAACTTATTAGTGCAGTACAGTACAGTACCGTACAAAAAAATTGGTTAGATATTTCATGTAAATTTGGAGTTACATTCAAAGTATCAATTAACATTTTGACAAGGTTAAATATTTTGAATGTATTGCTGCTGTAACATTATTTGATGGTGAATAATTCTGTGAGATCAACAATACTACACCTAACTCAGATCTCGTGTAGTAGAAAAATGGAAAAAAAATGGGAAAAAATCAATACCCGTCATGTGACAAAGAGTAATAAGAGTGTTTGAGCACATTTGCATCAAACTGGGCTATATCTCTTGCTATCCTATACCATACTATGTGTATACCATATTCTATATAGAGCTGAAGCTTTCCTATGAGATCAGAGGTTCGTTCTGCACATTGTGGATGGCTTGGAATTACTTTGGCAAGTATTGCCAACAGTCCATATACAAAATTGTTTAGCAGGGTGACCGATTTCATTGATACTGGTGGTTGTATTGCAACATTCCCGAAGGCCATTGTCATTGGGTTGCTGTATTGCAACCATTGCTAATAATAATGAGTTTGACAGTCATGTAAGCTGTATGGGTCAAATTGGCCCGTTCATGCGGTGCATATCGGTTGACGCAGTCATGAATCGGAAATAAGCACCATATATGTACTAGTATACATAAATGGTGTTCATGGTCCGCCAGGATGTCAGGCACCTGTGTGGTGGTTGCACCAAGGGATTAAGCCGAACTGATCACGTTGAAATGTGAACACGTGAGCAGTCTCTTTGGTTCTCTGGAAAACCGATCTAAAATTACCCTTGCCAATAGAGAGTTAATTTATATAACAATTCTGTAAGAACAATTATAGTATAATATCCTCTGTTTGTTTTATAATAATATCTGCGAAAACCAAATTTGTAAGTTTTCGTGTACATGATCTATGATTCGTATTGATGTAAACTATAAATATGACTTGGTCATTTTACTATCAATGATGTTTCTAAACTAGGTAGTAAAGTAAGTTCCATCTGGATAGTCACTTATAATGCATGCATAGGTCACATTTTTCAGATCAGTTACGTCTTCTCATTATTCTATCAAAATTTATAAAACGGACAAACTGTTTTAGAAATGAGAAAACTTACTTTCACATCAACCATACAATGACGCCAAAGTCGTAGCACTAAAACAATACTTGGTAGATTAATCCATTAACATTCAGATCGAAGATATCTGCGGACAACAAGTACACTGATGAATGTTCCAGTTCGACCAACTCCAGCGCTGGAAAAAGAAATCCAAACGATGACATGATATCACTGATTTGAGATAATGCGATAAAGTAAATAAGGTTTAGTTAGGGATTGTGAGACATTTTTGTTGTTTGAGAGTCATAGAAATTTAGGAGGTTAGCTTTGATTTTGAACTTTTAATCACCAACATGGTCTCCTGGAACCATTATTATTTACTGAACACAGAAGTCCATAACTTCATGAAGTAATCTCATCGTTTGGTTTGTTCATCTCTAGCTTCCTCTCAATATAGTCCTACACTAGCGTTCAGGAGGATGGTAGTTGGAGACACGTAATATATGTCACATCAACTAACTTAGTTGATCAGTACTTTGAAGTCATCTGTCATCAAATACCAGCAACATGTATCCCCGGTTAATGAGACAACAAACGGAAACACACTACCAATTGGTATTTGTACATATGGATCTGTACAATCATCCTAGTATTTAGTAAAAAGATATTCTGTAATACTAACAAATTTATGTTCCAGTCTCCTTTTTTCTCTTATTCAATTTAAACATGAAAGATTTTACTTAGTTGAGTTACCTACAATGTACAACAGTTGGTCCAATTGAAATTGTAGTAGATTGTTGTTGATTAACAAGAGATTGATTATTTTGTTCATATTCTTTGACAAGTTTATCCATATTCACAATTGTTGGTACACTAAAATTTTCCAATTTTGTAAAGTGTATTTGAGTTCCCATATGTGATTCATTTGAATGATTTGGCTGTTTAAAAAAAAGAATAATTGAGAAAAATGTAGGGGCTATTAGTTGAAATGATCATTCAAATACTAAACACAACATTAGTTTTCATAAACACGTGACTTTGTAATCAGATTAAAAAGAAAATTGAGATATTAACAGCTGATTGGTTGGATACATCTAAATAAGAATAATTCTTCAGTTCGTAATTGAATTGAAAGTAAGTGAACAGAATAGAGTGCACAATTCTTAGTACGTTGCATAAACCCGTAATATGGAACAAATAATAAGACTTGATGGGTCACTTATTTTTACGAAACTTTATAAGTTCAGACATCGGTTAACAAGTGTACTCATTACTAATAAATTTCTTAATCTAGCTGATCAGCTAAATTATTGAAATGAACTTCTACTTCTATAAGAAACAGACTACCACAATGCCCAGAATGGCAATGAAAGTTTCACGGTTTAGTCTTTTAGAGAAAAACATTAATAAGATAACTCATATATTCTACCAGAAAAAAGTTAGTAGAATGTTTCGACATTGAGATGGAGAGACTTTCAAAGCAATCTCTCATGCCGTTTGGCTTGATCCTTTAGGTATTTTGTATATTTGACTTAGAGAAACAAATTATTGCTATCCTATTCAGTAGGTTAGAGAATGCTGGTCTGCAGCCTATGCTCCAATAGGGGGAACAAGTGAAACACAGTAGAAAAACCTGAAGGAACATTTCTATTTGGACAAAATATTGCTCAGTCAAATATCTAAGAACCGAATGTTTGGCGCTATCGATTAATCTACTGTTTTCTGGTATGTAGTGTAAGCTATTTTTATTACACCAGTGAAGACTTTATTAAATAGGGTGAAAAAGTACAGATATATCATGTTTGCGATTACATAACAAGTTCAAGTTAAACAGTGCCTAAAAAATTATACTAGAAACATGAAATTAGAGAATACAATTTGATAACCAGTTTAGATCTCAACCTACATGATACAATCGATTCATTATAACCTTCTTCCTTGCATTGTCGGTTCGAAATTTCTCAGAAACTTTTGCAGCAGATGAGCACAGGGACATAGGACAAAACAAAAGACATTAACGTGAATTCGTTAACATGAAATATG